TTCAATATCTACATGTTCCCCCGTTTCTCTCAGCACCTTCTTGCATGCATCTTGTCTCAATATCTAAATTCCCCCCACCCTCTTCCGGCATTCATTTTCGGGTCTCAAAAATTCCCCCTGCGTCTCTCAGCAATTTTTTGCATGTATCTTCATGTGTCTTCATTTCGTTTCAATGTCTAGGCTCCACCCCTCATCTCTCAACAACTTTTTGCGCTCATCCTGTTTCAATATCGAACTTTCCCTTTCCCCTGTGTGCCCATCAATTTCCTGCATCCATTTCGCTTCATACGCAGACTTCCCCCACTGGCCTCTCCACCGCTTCTTACGTTTTTATTGTTTCAATACCGGAACTTCCCCGGCATCAACAGCTTCTTGCATGCATCTTGTCTCAGTATCTAAATTCCCCCCGCCCTGTGCCAGGTCCAAAAAAAACGTGTGCGGGTTCCAAAAAAGAAGGCGCCAAGGTCCAAAAACATCCAGCCCAATGTGAGCGCCTATAACGATGGAGTTTCCCCCCCACCCTATGGAGGCAAGGTCCACGAAGCAGGTGCACGGGTCCAAAAAACAGAAGCCGAGCTCAGACACAATTAATTTGGCGGTCGAAAAAAATTCCCTGGGTCCAGCACAAATACATGCAGGTCCAAAAAAAATATCCCCACAGGGTCCAGAAAACACACAAGGAAGTCCCCCACATTTTTTGTGACCCTAGGTCCCAAAAAAATCCGGTTAGGTCCAAAAAACATGTACAGGTCCAAAAAAAGGGTGCCCAGGTCCAAAAAACATGCATCCCTAGAAAAATTGTCGCAACGGAAGAACCAGACTTCTCACACACATTCTCACTGTGTAAGTCCGGGACGTCCCAGTTCTTCTCCTGAGCTATTACGGCAAGGAAACCACATGAAAGAGCTGCCCATTTCACTATAGTTGCAACGAAAAGCCAGCTGCAAGAACTCTGTGTGAGATCAAACATGGGTCAACATTTCGACAGTTTTTTTGCGGGTTGCGTTAAAAAAACTTAAAACCAGTGTTTCCAGAGCTGGCCCTTTCACCGCGCTTTCGCAGCCCTTCCGCCTCCTTTCGCCCCCAAGCGAATTACAGGCTTGGTATTTCGTTGAATAATCGCCACCAGAACGACTCCCATATGCACAAGGGGATCCAAGGGGTATGGCACCCATGCACCACCATGCAACACCAAATTTCTACATCTGAACTGGTGCAAATTGGTCCAACAATGTAGCAAAGCTCCATGCGTTTCCAAGCGTCTGAGAGCTCAATGGCAGCAGTGCTGCTGAGCAAAGCCGAAATGACAATCGCGTAGATCATCCTGAAGTCACGGCAAACAGTGTCAGTTTGCACAGAATTTGCGCAAGAAAAATCCTGATGTGGTTTTTGACTTGAACCTTCCACATGCTCCACTCGGAAGGGGTTTAGTTCCCGAGAGCGCCTGCGAAGGGTTCTTCGTAAAAAAGCAGCCGTTATACTACATCTTCACACCTTCACATCTGCTGATCTAGATCTTCACACCCTCACATCTGCTGATCTACATCTTCACACCTTTACATCTGCTGATCTAGATCTTCACACCTTCACACCTGCAGATCTAGATCTTCACACCCTCACATCTGCAGATCTAGATCTTCACACCTTCACACCTGCAGATCTAGATCTTCACACCTTCACATCTGCAGATCTAGATATCTTCACACCCTCACACCTGCAGATCTAGATCTTCACACCCTCACATCTGCTGATCTACATCTTCACACCTTTACATCTGCTGATCTAGATCTTCACACCTTCACACCTGCAGATCTAGATCTTCACACCCTCACATCTGCAGATCTAGATCTTCACACCTTCACATCTGCTAGATCTAGATCTTCACACCTTCACACCTGCAGATCTAGATCTTCACACCCTTCACACACCTGCAGATCTAGATCTTCACACCTTCACATCTGCAGATCTACATCTTCAGACCTTCACAAATCTGCAGATCTAGATCTTCACACCTTCAATCTGCAGATCTAAACATCCTTCAAACAACCCTCACACCTGCAGATCTAGATCTCACACTTCACATCTGAGATCTAGAATCTTCACACCTTCACACCTGCAGATCTACATCTTCACACCCTCACACCTGCAGATCTAGATCTTCACACCTTCACATCTGCAGATCTAGATCTTCACACCTTCAGATCTGCAGATCTCCTCTCGCTCTTCTTCTATTCTCTCTTAAGGCGGGGGCGGTGCCGCCGGAGCGCCACGAAACGCAACCCTTTCGCACGACATGGACGTTGGACGTCCAAAACCTAGGTAAAATTGCGATTTTGAAGCGTCCCCGGCAACCCTTTCGCACGAAATGGACGTTGGACGTCAAAAACTGAGGAAAAATTGCGACTTTGAGGTGTCCATCGCAACCCTTTCGCACGAAATGGACGTTGCGATGTCAAAAACTGAGGAAAAATTGCGACTTTTATCCGTCGCGCGCAACCGTTTCGCACGAAATGGACGTTGGACGTCAAAAACTGATGAAAAATTGCGACTTTTATCCGTCGCGCGCAACCCTTTCGCACGAAATGGACGTTGGACGTCAAAACTGAGGAAAAATTGCGACTTTTATCCGTCGCGCGCAACCCTTTCGCACGAAATGGACGTTGGACGTCAAAAACTGCGGAAAAATTGCGACTTTACTTAGTCAATCGCAACCTTTTCGCACGAAATGGACGTTGGACGTCA